ATGGTCAAGTGCTGTTAGGATGGTTAATTAGAGTGGAAAGTGTAGCTGCATCTTTTGTGTTTCTCATTGTTCTGGATTATCATCGAGCTTATATCGCTCACGCTGCTGACAATGCTTGAGGTTTGGTCTTGCTTCTAGTTCAAATATCTAGTAGCTCCTAAATTAAGAAGCATGTGAACAAATCTAGTGTTGTTTTCAGAAATACTGAGTCAAAATGAAGAGAGTTCCACCTTAAAACAAGCAGAATACTCTGCAATGGGGGAAGAGAAATCATCGTGCTGTTGCTTTTGACATGAGCTTGTTTGGCTTCCTCCATTGTCAGATCATTCTGCTTGTTTTAAGTTGAACTCTCTTCGTTTTGACTCGTTATTTCTGAACACAACACTACATTGTTGGCTTGTCTAGAAAGTCCTTCTTGATTTAAGAGTGTTCAGATATTTGGACTGGAGCATGTCTTCAGTGTGTCTTCAGATGACAGAACGATCTCTGGATATGTGATAATCTACTCAGACGGGTCTAAATGAAGTCTTACCGTAACACGTGTGTCTCAGCTGCTTCAGGAACTCAGTGTTGGTGTTGTGTAGATGATCTAGTGTATGTGGATGTGTTGTTGCAGTGCTGGTGAGTGTCTGACCTGTGGTTTGGGTTGTCTGCTGTTGGGAAGAGACTGAAGGCACTGAGCTGTTCTCATGTTTTCAGCAAACTGAATAAAACAGCTGTCTGAGCGTCACCGACTCATTCTTTACATCCATTCACAATCATACAGTACGTTTAGTGTAGTTGATCAGTTCCCCTATAGCGCATGTGTTTGGACTGTGGGGGAAACCGGAGCACCCGGAGGAAACCCACACCAACACGGGGAGAACATGCAAACTCCACACAGAAATGCTCAGCCAGGACTTTAACGAGTGACCTTCTTGCTGTGAGGCGATCATGCTAACTGTGTCGCCCTTAATTTACTGTGTTAAATAATATTACTTTAGATTATCAAAAAATTACTCTCAAAAAGTTGAATATTGTACTGTCATACTATTATTATTATTATTATTATTCATTATTATTATTATTATTATTATATAACATTATATTATTATTAAATGGGAGTATTATCACAGTTATTTTTGATGGAGAATATAATGACACAGCAGAATAGTGTGTGTGTTCATCAACAGTGCAGAAATAAACACAATCACATCAGGAGCTGTTAAATCTGTATTACATCTGCAGAGCTTATCCTTCAGGACTGATGTTCACCAGGTCAGAAACAACAGTACACACACACACACACACACACAAACACACACACACAGACACACAAACACACACACACACACACACACACACACACACACAGACACTCACACACACAGACACACACACACACACACACACACACACACACACACACACACACACACACACACAGACACTCACACACACAGACACACACACACACAGACACACACACACACACACACACACACACACACACACACAGACGCACACACACACACACAGACGCACACACACACACAGACACTCACACACACACACACACACAGACACTCACACACACACACACAGACACACACACACTCACACACACAGACGCACACACACACACACACACACACACACAGACGCACATGAAAGCATCATGAAATCCTCTAAGACGATCATCACAGCCGCTTCAGTTCTGAGTGGAGCTCCTGTATGAACAATATATTGATTTAATCTTAAACTAGCTGCGTTGTTAAACTCACACACATTAGTTCATCATCTCAAAGCAAAAGCAGATCACAGGAATAAACGAGGAACCTTTAAAATCATCAGTCTCCTTCAGTGTTTGGTTCCTCCGGGTTCTCTGTGCTCTGGTTCTCCTCCACATGTTCCTCCTCCTCCTCTTCTTTCTCTCCTTCAGCTTCTTCATTCTTCTCTTCTCCACTGTCATGTATGTGTTCCTCCTCCTCTATTTTCTCCTCCTCTTTTTCTCCTTCTT